CGTAGAAAATGAGGGTTGGAAGAGACCTCAGGAGGTCACATCTAGTCCAACCCCCTGCTCCTAACTAGATCTTCCCAGCCAAGGGTTTGCCTAGCCAGGTTTTAAACCACCAAGGTTGGAGATCCCACCACGTCTCTGGGTAGCCTGTTCCCATGCTTTACTCCCTTTCTAGTGAGAGACGTTTTCCTAATATCCAGCCTAAACCTCCCTTGCTGCAACCTGAGACCATGGCTCCTTGTTGTGTCATCTGCCACCACTGAGAACAGTCCAGCTCCATCCCCTTCGCAACCCCCTAGAGGCTGCTCTAAAATCCCCTCTGTCTTCTCTTCTGCAGACTAAACAACCCCAGTTCCTGCAGGCTCTCCTCTGAAGTTTTAATTGAAATTACCCAAGCAGCTCTATAAAGAATGGAGTCATTCATAGCTCCATTACTGGTAGAAAAAAAACAGGACAAGCTCAGACATAAATATGCAAGGCAGTTATTCCTTTTTTTTATATTTTGGTGTGCAGTGCCTCAGCATGTGTGGCGGATAAATTTGGACACTCCAGAGGAAGCCCATCAGAACCTCTCTTTCAGTGCTGCTGATCGCTGGTGGGAGCAAACAGATCTGACCAAACTTATCTTAGCTTCAAACAAACTGCAGTGTCTTTCAGAGGATGTCAGACTTCTTCCTGCTCTCACTGTGCTGGATGTAAGTACTGCGATCCCATTAAAGAACATCAGTTGCTGTCAGATTGTAGTCGCGGTCTGGAGGGCTGGGGGAAAGAGTAGATTGTCTCCCCTTTCTCACCTTCCCCTCCCGGGTCTGTGCTGGCTGATAGAACAGGGAGGAGAAGATGTGGTATCATTGTCTTCCTAGGGGAATGTAGGAATTGCCTTAACAGATCAAAAACTTCATTAGAAAACATTAAAATGAGTTTTCCCATGGCTTTGGAAGACAGTCTGGAACTCCATACATAGTTGGTATATGGTGATGTGATGTAGGTCATGCAGCCTACACTAGCCCACGGTAAAGTGGGTAGGAAGTTTCAGTGTGAAGCTAGAAAAGAGCAATCAGAGCCCACCCGTTGACCCGGAGTTGTCAGGTTAGAGACATTGTCAGATGGTGATTATTAGAATGAGGTGTACAATTGCTGGGTGGGGAAGGTATATCTCACCCAGCGTCTTGATGGTGGACAGTACCATAGGTATTTCCAGAAAACTCTTTAATGGACAGTTATGAAATAATTTGTCCACAGGAAACAAGGAGTAGTTTACCTAATCAGAAATTTGCCCAAATGGTATTTATGTCCAAAACAAAAATACTGGGAAATCCTTATTGAAGTCTGACCCTCTTTCCTCTCTATGCTTCTCCAGAGATCTGAACGTTTCTAACCACCATAACCCTTGTATCTTCTTTTTTGAGTGTTGGGTTATTGGAAATCACAAGAGGAGTGCAGTAGTACTATAATATCCAGAGCTTATGCTTTGGGCTCCAGCAATAA